GAGAGAGACAGACAGACAGACAGACAGACAGACAGACAGACAGACAGACAGACTGACTTCCAGGATCAGATGTAGGAAAGCCCGCAGTGGCCATCTGCATGTGGAACAGATCCAGTAACTGTTCAGTTCAGGAAGTTGGAAGTCACAGGATAAAAGAAATAAAAGATACAGTGTCTGCCCAAGACTGAAGGTCTGGAAGCTCCCTGGAGAGTTGCAGGTGTGAATCTGCCTTGAAAGATTGAAGGAGCTGGAGGTTGAGGTCCAGGGGTGATGGTAAGAGCAAAAAAAGGAAAGAAGAAAGAAAGAAAGAAAGAAAGAAAGAAAGAAAGAAAGAAAGAAAGAAAGAAAGAAAGAAAGAGAAAAAAGAAAAGAAAGATAAAAGAAGGGGCCAGTGAGATAGTTCAGCGGTCTAGGTACCTGCTTAAACAAGCACCAGGACCAGGGTTCCATCCCTGGCACCACAGGCCACACCAGCTCTGCCCCCAGGTGCGCTAAACCAGCCACTGAGTCCCTTCGTGGTGGTGCACACCTGTAATCCCAGTGCTGGGGAGGCTGAAAACAGAAGGATCACTATGAGTTCACATTGCCTAGTGAAACCCTGTACCAAATACATTTTTAAAAAACAGAAAAGGAAAAGCATCTACTGTAGCAGAATGAAACATCTCAAATGCAGGCAGACTTCTTCCTTTCTTTCCAATCCACCTTAGAGATAGCCTGTAGGATGGCAGCACCCATGTCTAGGTGGGTCTCCCCCCTCAGTTTCCTGGTGCACATACCAACCATCTCTGGACACTCCCACAGACTCACCCAGCAATGTGCTTTACTAACCTGCTAAATGTCTGTTAATACACTCAAGGTGACAATCACCACTGCCACCATAGGGAGTGTTATAAAATAATGGTCTGGTGTATCTTATTGTCATCTGAAAAATTGACAACAAAACAGAGTAGTGGTCAGTGATGTTACGGAACACAGGATTTTAAAGGGAGGGAATATAGACAGAAAATAAACTACTTGAACCAGTTTAGAAGTAGAGTAGCTTTCAAAATGTTAAAGACCAGGGATTATCGGAGACAGTCTCACTTTTCCAATTTGAATACCTTCCCCTGGTGGGCAAATAGAATTGTTTTTTCTCTTTTGTTAGCCATTTAACATCTTATCCAGAAAGATGGGAGAAAACTTTCCTTTCTTTTTCATTATTTCACTGAAACGAAGCAGCAATTATTCTTTTTGGTTTCCTTTCGAATTCTGGTAGCTCTAAAAGTGATCTGCTTCTTGGGATTCCCATCACTTTTTCATTTATGCTTTGGTACATCTTCCTCCCTATGGGTCTTTTTAAACACTTGTCTATGAGGAAAATTCAACATGCTACCAATCTAATTCTGTAAATGTCTTTTGCTTTTGTGTGGCTATATTGTAGCAATAACTCCCAATCTCACACCCCAAGAGGTATATGGGCACTACACTTAATCTCACTTTACAAAGTGAGCCATAGAGTGCCCTTAAAACGTGAGGGAACTTAGTGGGCAAAGCCTAAATTTGATTGTTAAATGTGCTGCGTGAACGCAACAGAGGTTGAGGTCCATGGGTGATGGCAATAGCAAAACAAAAAAAAAAAAAAAAATGAAAGAGAGAAAAACAAAGAAAGATAAAAGAAGGGGCCAGCGAGATAGCTCAGCGGACTAGGTACCTGCTTAAGCAGGCGCCAGGACCAGGGTTCCATCCCTGGCACCTCAGGCCACGCCAGCCACGCCTCCAGATGCGCTGAGCCAGAAAGCCTAAATTAGATCGTTAAATGTGCTGCGTGAATGCAGCAGAGCTTCCAAATCCCCTGCAACCACAAAACGATGTTCAACTGTGTACTTTTAATCTTAGTTGAGGTCTTAGTAAGATAATTCAGTAACACCCACTCCAGGGCAGACGGGGGCGCTGGATGTAGATTCTGGCGAGTTATCTGCCTCGGCAGAGATAGCCAGGCGGAACACCTAAAACAGAAGAGGCAGTGGAGTTCTCCAGGGAGGAGTTCTTGTCCAGCCACTTGGTACATTCTGTACACACAAGCCCCTCCCTTGTCTGAAGCTAATTCATAAGACTTAACTTCATTAAGTAGGGGATGGGAAAAGGTGGGGTTTGGCTCTGTTCGCAGCCTACGGCAGGCCCGCCCAAATCTGGCAAAGCGATGGGCGAACCAGGGAGGATAGAAAGGCGGGGAGAAGCACTCGGGTGAAGGCGGGACGGACGGCAGCCAAGCCCGCCAATAGGCGGCTCTCCAGAGGCGAAGCCAAAAGGGTAGGGACGCCGTCACTATTAGCACCGCTGTCTCCCAAGTTTCCCCTTGCGGATGAGCGGCTCAAGCAGCTCCGCTCCTCCCAGCGCTGAGGGGCCCAGAGAGGCAAGCGGAGAGGACTCGGGACGGAGTTTCTGAGCCAGCGGAGAGGACAGGCGCCCAGCCCTATCTGGAGGGTCCGTTAAAGATGAAGGGCCGGCGGCGGCGGCGCCGAGAGTACTGTAAGTTCGCGCTGCTGTTAGTGGTGTACACCCTGATGTTACTGCTAGTCCCCTCTGTACTAGACGGTGGTCGCGACCAGGACAAGGGTGTTGGACACTGCCCCGGCCTGAAGCGCAGCCTGGGAGTGTGGAGCCTGGAGGCGGCAGCGGCTGGCGAACGCGAGCTGGGCGCCGAGGCGCGGGCCACCCCCGAAGAGAGCGCGGGCCAGTCCTCAGGCAACCGCAGTACCGTCGGGGAGGCACTGACTCGCGAGAAGCAACACATCTACGTGCATGCCACCTGGCGCACAGGCTCGTCCTTCCTGGGTGAGCTCTTTAACCAGCACCCAGACGTGTTCTATTTGTACGAGCCCATGTGGCATCTTTGGCAGGCACTGTATCCAGGCGACGCCGAGAGCTTGCAGGGCGCGCTGAGAGATATGCTGCGTTCTCTCTTCCGCTGCGACTTCTCTGTGCTGGGGTTGTATGCGCCGCCGGGGGATCCCGCCGCGCGAGCTCCGGATGCAGCCAATCTCACCACGGCAGCCCTGTTCCGCTGGCGGACCAACAAGGTCATCTGCTCACGGCCGCTGTGCCCTGGTGCGATGCGTTCCCGCGCTGAGGTGGGGCTCGTCGAGGACTCCGCCTGTGAGCGCAGCTGCCCGCCCGTAGCGCTACGCGCACTGGAGGATGAATGTCGCAAGTACCCGGTGGTGGTCATCAAGGATGTACGCTTGCTCGACCTGGGCGTGCTGGTGCCACTGCTGCGTGACCCAGGGCTCAACCTGAAGGTGGTGCAGCTTTTCAGAGACCCGCGAGCCGTGCATAATTCGCGCCTCAAGTCAAGGCAGGGGCTGCTGCGGGAGAGTATCCAGGTGCTGCGCACTCGCCAGAGAGGCGACCGCTTTCACCGCGTGCTGCTGGCACATGGCGTGGGCGTGCGTCCTGGGGGCCAGTCCCGCGCACTGCCCGCCGCACCCCGGGCCGATTTCTTCTTGACTGGTGCGCTAGAGGTTATCTGCGAGGCTTGGCTGCGCGACCTGCTTTTTGCGCGCGGTGCTCCTGCCTGGCTGCGGCGCCGCTACCTGAAAGTGCGCTATGAGGACCTGGTGCGGCAGCCGCGCACCCAACTGCACCGTCTGCTGCGCTTCTCCCGGCTGCGTGCGCTTGCTGCGCTGGACGCCTTCGCACTCAACATGACGCGCGGCTCGGCCTACGGCGCTGACCGACCCTTCCATCTGTCCGCACGTGACGCCCGGGAGGCGGTGCACGCCTGGCGGGAGCGCCTGAGCCAAGAGCAGGTGCGCCAGGTGGAAGCCGCATGCGCTCCAGCCATGCGTCTGTTGGCCTACCCTCGCAGTGGAGAGAGCGACGCGGAGCCACCCATGGGAGGGGAGACCCCACTGGAGTCCGAGGTCGACAGCGCCACTTAACCCCTCATGCCCACTCTAGGGCAACTCTGGTAAGGTGCCGGGGTTCTGGGCAGACCATGAGGAAAGGTCATGGGGGACCTGAAACGGCCCGCAGGGGGGCAGGTGGAGAGGGGATGGTGCAGTCTGGAATCCCAGGCTATCAGATTAGATTCTGATTCACTGGGTTCTCCAGTTTAGCCACCCACTTCTTCAGAGGAGTACTCTGATCAAGAGAGCATGCTTTAAGTTCAGGTAGTAGCTGAAGCAGAGTCCACATCTCATTCCCAGTCCTTTTTTTTTTTTTTCTTGCATGGGGATGAGGGTAGGAGAATGAGACAGGGTCTCGCTGTGTAGTGCAGGTTAGCCGTGAACTCAAGGCAATCCTTCTGCCTCAGCCTCCTGAGTGTTGGGATAACAGGCTTTCACCACCACGCCTGGCCCTAGTCCCTTCTTTGAAGTGAAGAGGTATCAAAAATCAGAGGACAGCAGAGAAAGTCTGAAATAATAATTAATGGAACTTTTGATGTGAAGAGTACGAATTCAAGGAACTCTGAAGTTGATGGTTCTGAATGAATGTTCATGCCAGATTGTCCTGGAGCAACTTTTTAACTGTGCTGCTTTCTTGTCAGAGAGAAACCAAGAGCAGTGTTTAGTGGAAAGGTATCAGCACTTTAACCCTGTCTATTCCTTATCTTTCTGTTTCATTTTGTTTTCTGTCTCTCTTACGCTCAAGCTACAGGGCTTTCCTTCTAAGTAGCAAGCATTCAGGCACATCTGTGTGTCTCAGACCCTGGTATAATGGGATAGAATAAACTTTGCTGTCCCCTAGCTGATATGTGCCCCTCTCCTTCCCTACCCCTCTCTCTCCCAGTACTGCTGTTTGCAGGATATTTGACTATAACCCTTTTGCATCATGTGCCGAAGGCTGAGGTCAGCTTCCTTTAGTGCCAGCAAGACCTCAGGGGTGTGTCGCCCTTACTCCACTTCATCCATTTAGGTGATGGACCTTAGGTGGACAGTAGCAGTTTATGAAAAGTCTTCTTTTTTCATTCTTTGCAGTATATATCTAAAGATGCTAAGGTGGCATCTAACATTAGGCTAAGGGAAGAGTTAGTTGTGCATAAAGATGACCACATTAGTCATGTCACCAACATGGAAATACATTTCCCTGAACTCTAAATTGGAAGGGTGCCACTTTCTGCACTATGCAGACCAGAGGAGGAAAAGCAGTGCTTAGTGGGCGGAAGTGACTTAAATTTCCATTCACTATTTTAGAGCATAATTCAGCATTCTCCTGGGATGTGTTCTGGGACAAAGGTTGAAGATGGTAATGAAGATGGATTCTGTTAATAAAGCTTGGGTTTCAGAATGATTTCAGAAGCTGGCTGATTTTTCTCCCAGTAATCAAGTGGCTTTGTTGATCATTTTCTATAATTGCTAGGAAGTCTCTGTTCTTTCCTGATTTCCAGAGTGGAAGAAAGTAAGGCACAGAGTAAACTTTCAGGTCTTAAGAAAAACATCCTTTCATCTGCTAAGTCTGTATTTACAGATGGAACATAATGGTCCCTAATCCTCCTTCACAGGCCTCAGGAGTTCTACCCCTCGGCAAATGCTGAAGCATTTTATGGTTTTACAATTTTCTAAAAGTGCCCCCCCATTTACTAATTTATATTGAATCCTGGCTGGGATGAAGTAATACAGAGAATGGAGAGAAAGGTATAGGACATGGATTCTGCCCTCTAGGAAGTACAAATCTGTGCTCCTAACAGTGACTATGGGGAAAGACACCAATGCCACTGTTTGGAAGGCCAGTGAGGCTTCCTTCAGTGCATCTGGGTGAAAGTTTGAAGCCCTTCTAGACTGATGGCTGAGCCCTTCCTCCCACATTGGGCTCTTATTAAGGTACATTTATTAAAATGTTTGTATTCCTGGTTCCTAGAAAGATAATTCTACTAATCCACTAATGAGATTTACAAAAGTCTTACTTGGGCTAGTGAAAGTGGAATGGTGTTCACTATTAGATTCCAGAGCCCATAATCTCTCCATTGTACATGCCTTGCCTGGCCCCCCTTGTATTCCCTGGCAGCAACTCTGGTGCCCCAGCTGACCGTACAGGTTTGGGGTCCAAAACACACTTAGCTTCATTACTAATACATTAGATTATAACCAATATTTGCAAGAGAACAGATTGAATGCAAGAAATTTACAAGACTAGCTGACAGTATCTGCCCACAGAGTCCAATGTAGAAGAGATTTGTCCACATGCTAGAGATCTTGGAGAATCCAGCTAAAAGACTGGAGCCCAAGCAATGTCCTTTATGAGTCCTTATCAGGAGGCTGAGGAATCTGCAATGGAAGCCTGAAGGATCTGCACAAGCCTGGTGCTGGTGCTGGTGCTGAAGGCTAGAGTCTGCAGTGACAGACCAAAAAGCTCTTGCTGGAAGCTGAAGAATCTGTGCCAAAAGCCAAAAGACAGTGCTCAAGGCAAAGACCGGAGCTCCTCCAAAGAAAACAGAGGCCATTTTAGTGAAGCAAAGACCAAAGCTCCTTTCAACAGAATAGCCAAAGCTCTTCCAAGGAAAATCAGCTGAAATCCTTCCCTCATGGTCTCCATTTACATGGTTTTGAAAATGCTCCTCCTTAAGTGGATCTTCTTGTAACACCCTGACTCGGTACAGTTGGGCATTCCTGCTTGTAGTGGATTCCTAACTGGTGGTCAACTTATTACACCCAGCTGAATTAAACTAGCATAGTGCTGAGTGTGGGAGGCCCACCTGAGCATTGTTGCCAGCAGCATAAATGCAGAATGGGAGAAGCCGCCCAGATGCTGTTAGGGATGCTGTTTGGAGAAGCTGTTGGAAGCTGCTAGTTCTCTTGGTCTGTTCTGCTAGAGGACCTTGTCATGTTGGTTTTCCCGGTGAGCTTTGGAGAAGCTCTGGTTCTTATCTTGAGCATTGCCTCCTGGCTCTGGAGGGGAAGATGGTGCACTGCTCAGCCTCATGGAAAAGCATGTTACATTAGCTTTCCTGATGGGAACTTGGCTTTCCTCATTGCTGGATGAGCTAGGGACCACACTGTTGCTAAGGATGGCTGTGGTAGTTTTGAGGGAGCTCTGGTGCTTACGTTGAGTATTGCTTCCTAGCTCCGGTTCAGATCTCTCAGATTACTAGCACAGATACTTCATCCCACTGGCATAAACTTTCTAGCTTCCACCACTGATCTTTGGGCCCTTCCGGCAAAGATATGTGAAGCAGACCTGCATGAGACTTTATTGTGGGCTCTAGGCCTTCAGCTGGAATTGTGGGAGGCATTTTTATGAGCTCTAGGTTTTCAGCTGTACCCATGCAAGATATTAGGATCTAGGCCCTCAGCTGGAGTCTTTAGTAGTTAGTGTGTGAATACATTTCCTACACTTGCTGTATGTGATTCTTGGGTGATTTATTATAAAATACTACTATAAAATTCGTCTTGCACTAGATTGTTTGCCTTGCATAAACCCCAAACCATGACACCACTTGAGTTGACAATTAACCACCACAGTTTGCAACCATAAACAAAGTATTTCTGAGCTGCTGACAGCATCTACATCCATCCTCCTCACAGGACACCTGAATGTGCATGTCCTTGGCTCAACAGTGAAGAGAGGTTGGAGGTGAATTAACCTGAGGAACCTCTAGATGGTCCATACCCAATAGCCAAAATTTATCAGGGAGGGAGAAAGCTTTTCCTCAGGGCTGACTAGGTAGTGCAGAGTCATGAACTAAGTTACCAAGGACACAGACTCTTTTCTATCTTCTTGGCTTTCACTGATAGCTCATGTCCCCACTGTCAGAAGACAGTAATCACAGCTTTAAGCATCATATCCTCATCCAACTACACAGGCTTGGGCCGGGGAGATAGCTCAGTAGAATAAGTGCTTGTCTGGCAAGCACAAGGACCTGAGTTCAATCCCCGGTTCCACCAAAAAAAAAATGCTTACAACTACACAGGCTTGTTAAAATGCAGAAAGAAAGAAAGGTGGTTAGCAGGTAAGGGATGGAGAGGTATTCCTTCATGCAGTACTCTTTCCTTTAATCTCCTACTAAAAACCTTGCCTAGAACCCTCTACTTTAGCTGACTTCTTTTTATGTCTCATTGGCTTTATATCACATGGCCTGCCTTAGCCCAGTAATTGACAAAAGGGAATGGGAGCACCCTGATTGGTTTAGACTAGTAATTCTCAGCCCTGCCTGAAAATCACAGCAGTGTTTCTTCTACCCTAATTCTTACCTTATCCTGGGGGATATGTTCTGAGACCTCTAGTGGATGCCTGAAACCACAGATAGTAGTACCAAACCCTATATGCATTGTTTTTTAACACACACACACACACACACACACACACACACACACATGAACATGCACACATACACAACTCTGATAAAGTTTATAATTAGAGAGATGAGCAATAAGGAAATTATAGCAATATTGTAATAAAATTACATGAATATGATCTAACTGCAAGAGGGCAGATACTATGTACAGTGTGAATTTGCTGGATGAAAGGATTATTTACATGGCAAGAAGAATGAAGCAAGCCTGCGTGAGATTTCAACAAAACAGTAGTATAAAAAACAGCAGTATAAATTATTATATTGAATTATTCTGCAGTTTTCTTTGTGTGGGAAAACAACCTGCTAGAAATTCCTAACCAGAGGGGATAAATGGAGATTAAAGATAAGACACAGTGATAATTTGGAAGAGTGGTCAGCGGACCCTTGCTTCTAAGTGGACAAAGAGCCCTGAGCATTTGGCTCATGTTGCTTTTACTTGGACATGAGATTAAGCAATGAGACTAGCACAGATTTAGCTACCTCCTCTTATCTGTAGTATATTACCAGGTAAACAACCAGATCTTATCTGTGTCAACTCTTCCCTAGAACATTCTAGCATGCTGGCTCATTTGCCAAAGGAGGAACAGCTTGCCATTTCCTCCTTCATCTCCACAGAGAAGGTCAGTTAGGCCTTGATCCTTACTCTCTGGTATCCTACATCTTTGGACTGTTTTTGG